AATTAGCAGACGCACTGGGAAGCGTTGTTCACGGCATTGGACTGCAGCGAAAAATGATTCCCCCATCATTAATGGAACAGGCCCACGTCATGCTTGGCTGATTAGTTTTGATTTACATTTCGCAAGTCTAGTGCCATACGCAGCAAAAGTCCATTTCTAGTGTTGTTGTAAAATGCATTTCAAACCAGGCTGATTTTTTATTTACGTTTTGGAATAGAATTTGGAGAGGGCTTTTGATCAAGTCAGACCTACGTTTTGAATTTGAATTACATTTTAAAAATTTTGGAAAATTTGAACTACGTTTTGAAAAATTAGAATTCATTTTGGGGAACTAGATCTACATTTTGAGAAATTTACACCTACGTTTTAATAAATTAGACATTGAATTTTGCAATTACATTTTGATTTTAACATGGACTTTTGCTGCGTATGGCACCCCATACATATTCACATACATGTCAACCTCTATTGGTACCTAAAATTTTGGACCTTTTTGTATGCATAGCAAATTTGTCTCTGTAAGGTTTTTTCCTCATTCTTAGTCAGATTCCTATTCTTTTTAACAAATGTTTATTAATATCCGGATAAGTCAATTAAACTCTAATTAAGTCTGTTTTCATATTTCCTGCCAATTTATTAATTATAGTCACAGTATGAGTTTATCTACAAGACTGTGCTGGAGCATCTACTGGCCTTTGAGGTTTATGACAATTTGCCACAAGAAAATGGAGAAGAAGCTGTATATGCGAATGTCTAACTGATGCCATCTTTTAGGCACCTGACCTTATCTGGTGACTGATGACATCTTCTTGCTTCTGACATATATTTTATTTTAAAGTCTGGATAACATCTGGAGACTTCTGCAAATGTATTGATATTCCAGACATTAAGGGGAGACTAAAATCATATCATCTGATACTGTCTGCAGACTTCAGACATTTTCTGGAGACTACTGATATTCTTCCTTAAATAGGAATTTCCAGCATTCCTGATTTAAACACTATCCAATATTTACTGGATGAATGAAAACATCCACAAATTAATTTCCAGAGTTGTTCTTATGGAGTGTCTGAGTGGCATTTGTTTTGTATTTATTGCAAATTTTTGTACTAGTGTATAACTTTTTTATATATATATAAGTGTTTTATAATTGTTTGTAGCTTTCAGATATTTAGCAATAAACCTTGAGAAATTAATCAACTATACATGAAGCTCATAACCTGTTTATACTTCTAACATGCATCCACTGATTGTCAGATACACTTCCAGTGACTGGAAGTGTTTCTGCCACTGATTGACATATACACTTCCAGTGAATTCCAGATACACTTCCAGTGACTGGAAGTGTTTCTTCCACTGATTGCCAGATGCACTTCCAGTGAATGGAAGTGTTTTTGCCACCGATTGCCATATACATTTCAGTCACAGGATTTGTATCTATTTTTTTTCTTCTTCATCATTTTCCGGTCTTTTCTGCGAATTCTATGTTCAAGTTGATATTTTGTATGATGTTCAAAATGAGCATGTTAATTATTTTTGATATTTTTAAATATTTTTTGTGGGACAATACATTTTAAACGATTTACAGTAATGTCGGTTTTGTGTTTAAAGAACATTAGAAAGAATAAACAAATATACTGTAAGGTGAAGGCCAGAGTAGAATACCACGTTTTCATAACATACAGAAAGTTAGGTTGTAAGTGACCTGTTTGAGAATTTTTTATATTTTTTTATATATATATATATAATTTTCTACTGTCATATTTTCACGATTTTGCCAGTGCGTAGATCGGCTGAATATAAATGTACTTGAGAAAAATCCGTCAGTTGAGAACATACAAAATTGATGTTAATTTTCATCTACATTATTTATGTTCTAAAAGATTATGTAATGTGTAAACAGAACTTCAGTGCATTATGAATGTAGATGATTCTTATCATATTATTGCACATTTTTAAAGATCACAAACACATTTATCAGTGTGAGTTACTTGTATTTTAGTATAAATAGGCTTTCCTACTTAATCAAATTATCTGAATTGAAAATATGTACTTAAGTGCCATGTTAAAATTTAGTTTAGAGATTACAAATCTTTTGAGAGTAAAGATACTTCGTGTCAATGAAGTACCAATAAAATGGGTTTGCAGAATTCTACTTAATCATTGCTTGAAATTGCTAAATGCTGTTGGTATTAATCAAGAACATTAAGTCTTTGGTAATTATGATAAAAGACCAAACATCACCATGCAGAAGCCACCATTAATCATTCAAGGCCACCTTTTTTACGAACCAAATAACGATCTTCTATCTTTTATCACAAATCTAACTCTAACTAAATGGACACTAAGCCAGGAACTACCCCAAATTTTGAGATTAAAAAGGTGGTCTCGATTTGGAGGACGATCAGTATTTTATAGTCATTTTTATATAATCTTTGAAAGACAGATTTAACTGGTGCTCATGAGATGAAACTGACTCTAACTGACTCAATATTGATTATCTTCTACATTCTATTGACTCCTAAATCCAATATAATATTTTATTTTGATGAAAAATTTTGAATAATAAAAACTGAAATTTTACCAAACATTAATTCGTAATTTAGTATATTGAACTAAAAATTCATATATATTTTTCAACAATTGTAAGACTCTTTTTAATCGTTGTTTGTAGAAAGTGAATCAGTTTTGGAAAAGGGGCAATCTGTAGAATTTATAGAATACAAATTGAGTATAGGACTGTCTTCACAAACAAATTACTTTCGAAATTC